CGGTTTGCGCCCGCTTGCAATGCCCCTCTGACTCACCACTCGTTAACGCGTTGGGAAACAAGGAGCAGGGAGGGGATGTCTCCAGGACACATACAAGCCGCTCGCTCAAAGATTTCCCGCTCCAGTTCGGGGGGTAAGATCGGAGAGCTCATGGTGGCAGAAGACAAGAAGGAGTGATGGTTATCTTCTGTGCGTTCGCCAATCAATTTCGAGTTGATGGGAAACTTTGGGGAAACTTGAACTTGGTTCAAACTTTGGTTCATGCCCAATTATTTGGACATGATACGCGAGTTACCCCTTCGTGCATGGACCGCCCCGCAAGTCGGACGATACGACCGTGACGGTCAAAGCAAATAAGCGCCGGCCAAACGCCCACCAATTACCCAATATGGAAACACTACCGCCGATCAAATCGCAGTGTATGCCTCGAGGGTTTTTGGCCTCCTTGTTGTCAGCAGAGCTGATCGTGGGAAGGATGTTGAGAGTATCTGCGATTGCTTGAATAGGACATCTACAATCTACAGAACAATCATCGAACGGAGCGAGGACAAAATAAAATCCACCTCGACTGTGGGCGTATATAAAATCAAAGTGAGTAAGCAGTAGGCAGAGGGGAGGGGACGCGGGATTCGCAGTGTTGCAGTGTCTATCGTGGTGCGTAAAAGTACCGCTGGCATAGTAAACAAGCAGGTAACGTTAATGAAGAGCGTGAGGGCAGAAATACGGCGAGCCAAGTACAGTAACACCCCGTCAAGAGGGAGGGAGGTACGTGATCGAGGGACACGAGCACCGGGTGCCTTCCCCCACTGCCCCCAAAACCACCTAGCCCGAAAGGCACCGAGCGGGGAGAGTGTGCGCCGTTTAGGCGCAATGAGTTCTTGGCCCTCTTCGTCTGTCTCCGGCTCCCTTTCCACCGCCGTTTTGGATTTGGATGGGATGACGAGCTGGGTTTGTCGCTGGTGAGCGTATGCTGCGCCGATGGAGAGAGCCACGGGCGTGCGGGTGGGAATGCGGCTCGCGCTCCTCAACGTTAATCTCGCAGTCGGACATGGTACCCATCCCCTACCCGACGCGCGCTGCACTCACGCATGAGCCCGCACCCTCACCCGCCTTCGCACACATCTCGCCGCATGCACCACCACCGTCGGATCGCACACATGGAGATTCCAAGGCCAGATGTGAAGGTGAGCGCGGGCGCGCGCCCGCCCATCACACAAGGCGCATCGCCTCCTGGTTCAACTCGCCACGGCGTATGCAGCCCATCCTACACCCGCGACATCGGGGTTGCCTCGACACACACCACCCGCTTGTGCGTATGCGGATCCACGACCCCACCCATGCTCCCGGGATAGCAGTGGCGTTTTCCCACCCACACATCACCCCCGCCCGCACCAGACCATCCATACACGTGGGCCAACAAAAAACGAAGTCGTTCTGCGTCTCCGCGTCCGTATTTGCCGTTCTCACCGCCCACCCTCCCGGTTCCTCCCCGTGCTGACCGCCCCCGCTCCCTCGGTCTCTTCCGTAGCACCCACCATCCACACTACCCTCCCGTTCTCACGATGAGGGTGTGGATGTCGATAAGGGTGTCGATCGTATGGCGCACGCGGTGGTGGTGCATGCTGCGCCTAGGTGCGCCGCGGCGACTGGAGCGGAATACGCCCCGGGGAGGTCGACACGCGCGCTGGACACTGGGGAGTGGCGGTGTCGATACGGCGCGGTGGTGCTTGGGTGGAGATGCGGATGTGGTGGCGGTGGAGATGGTTTGCGCTGGGTCTGCGCGGAGGCGAGGGGTGGGATGCACACGGTACGCGACGTCGACACAGGCGCGGATAAATAAGCCTGAAAACAGAGCGGAAGGCGGAGGAATGAGGGGAGACACACGCGCTGCACGGGCTAGGCGTCGGTGTCGTTCTCCACGTCAGAAGCTTAAAGCGGCGACGTACACACGCGTACGCGATGCAGAACGCAGACGTAGGGATCTCCTCTCCCCGCGCGCGCCAGTGGGACTGGGACTGGATAGCTATAAGCACTACGCACGACCACGGACACGCATGCGTATATGCGCGGGTAGACGGTGGTGAGCTCCGTAAGGGAGTCGAGTCGCGTAGGTCGCAGTCGCATGCAAGTCGCGCGAGTCGAGCGGGGAGTCGACAGAGTCGCGCCTCGCATCGCATCCGACGCAGGGCGCAAGGGAGTCGCACGAGGACGAAACGGACAATGGGCAACACATCTCGATCCCGCTTGCACAACCTCCCGCCCCTTCTGCAGCCTCTCCCCAATGCCCTATCCTGCTACATCTCCCGCTTCCTTTCCCCCGTCCCCTTCCCTTCCCTCCGCCGTGCCGCACGAATACGATTGCGGGTGTATAATACCGCATGTCACGGGGACCAAAGCAGCGGATAAGATATGCGGATATGCGCAAAGCAGGGGGAGATGGCGCCAAGGATGAGACAGCGCGCTGGGGAAGTGGGGAGCAAAGAACCAAACCCCGAGGCGGCAGACGATGCGCAGTGGCAGAGGGCGCGCAGCGGATAGGACGTGCGCCTAGGCGCGACGATGGGGGTGTGTAAGGGAGGAAGGGTGCGTTGCGCGCGGACGGGCAGGGTGCGCGGCCGATGGCGTAAGGTGCGCGGCGAGGACGGGCGCAGGCGTTGCGCGCGTACTGTGGTGGCCAACAGGTAGATGAGGACGCCGCCCTGCTCGACATGCCGCCCTTCTCGACATCGGCGCGTGTTCGTACTCGCCTCCATGTCAGGGTCGGGTCGGCGCGTAGTCTTGCTGTAGTCGAAGTCGTACTCGGTAAATATCGGTGTCGGTGTCGCATGGGGCGTCGTACTCGGTAGGGTGGTCGTTCCCACTGCTGCGAACGAGCATTGACTTCCCCGCGCTACTCTTACCGTCCCTACTCTTCAAACACCCCGGCTTTGCACAAGCCACCCGGACGCCAACAGCGTAGCCCTTCGGGCGCGGGCTTACCACTTTCCCCCTTCAACAACCACCTGCTATGCAGTTTTCCGCACCTCCACGCCAAGTCGAAGTCTTATCAACGAGAGCACAGCACACCCGGCTGCGACGCAGCTCCGTGTGCGCGGAGCTTGTCGCTCCTTCGGTGAGAGCGGTGCGCGATGGAGGCGAAAGTACAGGTGGGTTGTTGCGTTGTTGGGCGCCGGAACGCGCGAGCGCGCGATTTGGGGCTAGGGTCAGCACGAGAGGCGAAGATGAGGACGTGGCTGGTCGCGGATCAACGGTGGCGAGGAAGGGTCAGTCACGACCTGTGGGCGAGGCGTGAGGGCGCGGACGCGGACGCGGAGAGGAAACAGCGCGAAATTGTGGGCGGGCGTGGCGGGAGGCGGGCGCGAGGAATACCACACATCCTACACGCTTCAACGTTAGCACGGCAGTCCAGTAAGAGAAAGAGGACGACATACGGAGCTGCATCCAAGGGAACGGGAAGCTGCTTCTGCGTTCGAGGAATACGAGATCATTTTCTAGCCGATTCTCTCTGTAGAGCCGCCTCCCAACGGATTCGATCTTCTGGAGGAATACACTGGACGGTCTGGCGAGATATACGCGGTTGCGGTCGATGCACGGCAACGCCGCGGTCAGGCTGAAAGACATCGCGTAAGTACGCGTGGCCATGCGAGAGAGAGACGCACAGATATCAAACGGCGCCAGATCGTCTCGTGCCTGCCACATTACGGAGGGAGGGGCTTATTCCAGCTCACGAAGGGATTGCTACCGCTACTCTACGCTGGCAAACAAAACGTCGAATAGGATCCAGCGGAGGTCGTCGGATTTTGTCGGGCCTTCACTTCGATTCATTTTGAATGCGCCGTGGAAGGGTTGGCGGCGATGACGGTTTTGCGGTGCCGGTCGATAGTGAGAGCGCGGGGGCGAATGGGGGCGGTGTACGAAGGGAGTTGAGCTGCACGCTGCTGAGGAACGTCGGTGAGTCGCATAACGGGCTCCGCCTTGTTTTGAATCTTGAATGGATTTCGAAAGAAAGGAAGCCCAACAAATCTCCGAATCGCGTCCCACAGCTTTGTTGAACGCTTGCCCCAGGGTATTCGAATCCTTGGCGCGAAAAAAGCAAGACGGAAGTTGGAGAGAAGCAGCAGGGAGACTCGGCCGATCAACGCCGCATTCATCAACGATCAAGGCGACATCGGCCCGGTGCTTTGTGTTTCTTTCCTCTTCCCTCTTCCTTATATGAGGCTTGTCTCGTTCTTGTGCTCTCAATGTCGAAAAGGCTCGGACTCGCCCCGACCAAATCTTCGCGCCGATGGGAGCGGCGAATCGCTGTTTCTTTGAGCATTCGTGAAAACGAGTCCCTGAATCCTCATCAGTACGGCTCAACCCAGCGCAATCCATGGATCCATACCGTGAGTCAACGCCCCACATGCCCCCTCTACTTATCCTGGGCACGATTCAACTCATGTGTTCTCGATGTCCTGCCACGCGGGGACCGCACTGGCAAACACAAATCATCTCTGGCCTTCAGGTTAATGCCCGCTATCTCGGCATTGAAATGTCGCGGACTCGCGGCATCCTTAGAATCCGCAGCCTGAGGGGGCACGCCGCACTCCTTCAATTCACGAGCCAACTGCCACTAGGTTTCTCCGCTCGGGTTCTCTGTGAACATTGGCATCTACACGCGATGCTTTAAAACGCTTGTTCGACTTGGCGCGGATTTGAGCCATACGTAGCGCTCTCAGCCCCTCCTCGTCGCGCACCCCGCTCAGGCTGCCTCCCTCATGCATCAAATTTATCCTCTTCACTCCGTACTCCCACCTACGAAGAACCGCTACTCACCATCGATTCCCACCAACATTAACAATCCTATCCATCATCCAATCCTATTTTTTGCCCTCGGTCTGCGAAGCAGGGGCCTGCAAAATACAACGCCTACACGAACGTCGCCGCCGTTTTCGCCACTGTGTAGGAGGTACGTGAGAGAGCCCGAATAATAAAATAAAAAGCATGACGGGTATTCCATATGCGGACGCTGGGAGTCGAACCCATTCGGCGACTGCTGGGATGCTTAATGATCTTTGTATTGATGCTGGTAACAGGAAGCAGCGGTGCACCACGCACGACGTCCGCTTTCTCAATGGGAAGTAAGTAAGTAATCTCACCTCTTCAATCCTTACTCTCACGTCTACGAAGAACAGTTACTCGCCATCGATTAATATTCCCACCACCGACTCCAATGCTATCCATTATCCAATCCTATATTTTCTCTCTCTTACTTTGCGAAACGCAGCGCCGCAGAATCTAACGCCCAAAAGAACCTCCGCCGTTTGTGTAGGAGGTACGTGAGAAAGCCAGAATAAATAAATAAATCAAAAAACCTGAGGTAGGTTTTATATGCGGACGCTGGGAGTCGAACCCATTCGGCAACTGCTGGGATGCTTAATGATCTTTATAACGATACTGGTGACAGCAAGCAGCGGTGCACCCCGCACGACGTCCGCTTTCCTTCCATGGGTAAGTAAGTAAGTGAGTATAGATCTCGCTTTTCTCACCCTACTTACCTTTCGCAGATTGAATGAATTTCCACCGGCAACAGATTAAATAAATTTCGACCGGGGCAAAGAAGAAATTACAGGAGAACGCACGCGGACGCTGGGAGTCGAACCCACGAGCTACTTCAACTTCGTCGTACACTTTGACCTATAGAATGCAGCGGTGCACCGCGCACGACGTCCGCTTTCTTTCCGTCCATGGGTGTGCGGGTAGCAGGCAGGTCATTTTCTTTACCCTCAGCATTTTCCCGGATTGACCCTGTTTGAATTTCAATCGGCCGATCGGTCCAGATTCCATCATGTTCAAATGTCTGTCACTCGCGCGTACCCAGTGAAATAATTCCACAGGAATATCTAGATTCTAGGCCATGCACATTTATTTCCTTTGGCCCGCTTCCAGGCAGCCAATAAAATAAATAAATATTAATGCCAAAGCCCATGCGGACGCTGGGAATCGAACCCAACTCAACATGATATCAGCTGCTGGCCGGAACACAGCGGTGCACCCCGCCCAACGTCCGCTTTCTTTCAATGGGAAGTAAGTAGGTCTCTTCACTCCTTACTCACCTCTGAACGTCTACGAAGAACAGTTACTCGCCATCGATTCTCACCACCGACTCCGATCCTATGATTTATCCATTATCCAATCCTATATTTTTTCTCTCTTACTCCGCGAAGCAAAGGCCTGCGATATCCAACGCCCAAAAGAAGCTCGCCGCCGTTCGCGTAGGAGGTACGTGAGAGCCAAAATAAATGAATGAATGAATGAAAAATGTGACATGCATTCTTGGTATGCGGACGTTGGGAGTCGAACCCACGAGCTGCTTCAACTTCGCCGTAAGCGGTGCACCCCGCACGACGTTCGCTTTCTTTCAATACGTAAGTAAGTAAGTAAGTACGGATCTCGTTTTTTGTACACCCTAATTACTTTTCGCAGATTGCATAAATTTCGACCGGTCCAGGTTGGGGAGATCTAGATCGCCCCCCCCCCCCCCCCCCCCGTCGACCAGCATCAAGGCAGCCAAAGAAAAAAGAAGGCAAAAAAGTGGGCGGTTACGGCCCAACATGCACACGGACGCTGGGAGTCGAACCCAACTCATCAGCTGTTGGCAATTGAAGCAGAACGCAGAGGTGTACTGCGCACGGTGTTCCCTTTCTTTCGTTCAATAGGTGAACGGGTAAGCAATCAAGTCAATTTCCTCTTACTCTCAGTATTTTTTACGGATTGACTTAGTTTGAATTTCAACCGGTCCATCATGTTCAAGCGTCTTTCACTCGCCCATGGCCGGCAAAATATTCCACAGGAATATCTAGGCCATGGGTGTTTCTTTCCTTCGGCCCGCCTCATGGCAGCCAAAGAAAAAAAGAAGGCAAAAGAGTGGGCGCTTACGGGTCAGAATGCGGACGCTGGGAGTCGAACCCAACTCATCAGCTGCCAGTGGTGGCAAATGAAGGAGTACCGCACGGAACGCAGAGGTGCACTGCGCACGACGTCTGCTTTCTTTCCTTCAATGGGTGTGCGTGTATGCAATAAAGCCATTTCGTTTCTACCCTCAGTATTTTTTACGGATTGACTCAGTTTGAATTTCAACCGGTCCATCATGTTCAAGCATCTTTCACTCGCCCATGACCGGCAAAATATTCCACAGGAATATCTAGGCCATGGGTGTTTCTTTCCTTCGGCCCGCCTCATGGCAGCCAAAGAAAAAAAGAAGGCAAAAGAGTGGGCGCTTACGGGTCAGAATGCGGACGCTGGGAGCCGAACCCAACTCATCAGCTGCCAGTGGTGGCAAATGAAGGAGTACCGCACGGAACACAGAGGTGCACTGCGCACGACGTCTGACGAGTTTTTGGGAGCCTCGACTTTGACTGGGTCAAATGATCTCGCAATTGAAAACCTTTGTGAACAACTGTATCTGAATTGGGTTGAAACATCACCATGTTCATAGCCTGTATGAATGATACCTTGTGACTTATTGAAAATGAGATCTAAATTATGGATGAGAGCGATAATCTTCATGGACTATCTGATGAGCCAGCAGTAGAAATCGATTTTTTTTTTCTGAATTGAGGGCTTTACACTTATGTAAAGAGAAACATTTTACAATTATTCCTCCTCCTCCCGCTCCTCCTTCCACATCTTCTCCAGTTTCTTAATGTCCACGAGAAAGCTGTCCCTGAGACCAATCCAATGTTCCCGCTCAAGTTTGGCCAATTTGGTTCCGTTTCGGAGCTCGCCCTCAGTAAATGATCCCAGCTTCAAAAGAATGTCAGCCACAAGATCAAGCGCATCCATCTGCGTCTGGTTGATAGTGGCCTCAGACTCCATGTCAGCCTTCACCCTTGCCCCTGCTGCCCTAAGTGCTTCCCCTAGTGGGAGCATCATGGTGTCCTTAAAGCTCTGGGATGGTTGGAGGAGGTTGTCATACCATCGGTCTAGCCTAGTATAAAACATGACCCGAACTGTACATTGTAAGAGTTTCAAGTTTTGTTTATGCCGGACTGTGTCAAGGAAGTCTGGATGGGTAACACCATCCCACTGCTTCGCAAGTAGAGAGAACGCAATTGCATTGGCCTTCTCTGCTCCAAATTTTTCCATCTGTTCATCATCGACCTCCCATACAGTGGACAGAAGCAACCGGACTGCCTGTTCATAATGTTGATCAAGGAAAAATTCATAATCATCATACAGATCCAGAAAGGCAGGCAAGTTTTGAGAGATTACTAGTTTCCATTTCGGCAGGTGCAACAGTTTTGTGCCAAGGATAACACAATCTAGACCTTCAGCGAGCACAGACCAGATTTGGGTTGATTGCGCCTCCAAGATTGGACCCAGGTCAGGATCTGTGAACCAGTTTTCTGAGGAGCATAGAATGCTGGATGCCATATCACCGCCCTCAGAGGTTATCAAGGTTCCGAGTATTTTCTGAAGGGAGGCTGGTGTCACCTTCCCGAAATTTGGTCTGCAACACCACAGAACCTGGACGAGGTCATGAACCGCGTCTTCCGAATGATCAGCTTCCCCGAGTAGGCTGTGAATCCAGCTTACTTCTACAATATTGGTGGATTCAGATGAGAGCTGCCACGAAAAAGATACCCTAAGAAGTCGGAGGGCAGCTAATTTTGCCTGGGAGGATAGATGGGAAGTGGAACACAGACGGAGTGCCGCATTTACACATTGGCTATCCATCTTGTTTGCATAAACCCTAATTTTCTTTGCAAGTTGTGCAGTGTGAAGAAGAAGGTCAGTTGCAAGGGCTTCATCCACGGGCCTACTACCTGTGACCAGCTGGGAAAGGTGTTCAAACAACCGAGTTGTGAGCAATGTTGTAAAATTGCTGACAAAAATTCAGCAGATGATTATATGAAATGAGAGGGTGGGTAACCTTTTATCTGGTAGTGAGCAATCCTGAGCGTGGGGCGGGGTAAAGAATGAGTTGAGGCAGAACAAAAACTCAGCAAAATCTGCTTGATTCTGAACAGAAACTGTGACATTGGCACTCTTTGGCGATCCCCGGAGAAGATTGATCCCTTCAAATGGGAGACCGTGTGCAATAAGACGCAGGCACCACGGTGTAAGAACCACATGTCTATCAGTGAGAAAGCGCGGTTCATTGTATCTCACCGCAAGAACAGAACAGATCATCGACCGCAATGGCTCTGGGGCACCCCAAAAGTAAACATCTTGGAAAGCCAGGTTGGACATGTGTGGCAGGCCGCGTCAAAAATACCAAGGGCTCGAATACAGTTGGTGGCACGGTCAAGGCTTCTGGTGGGTATGCCACCATCATAATCAAAACATGAGCGATACACATCGTTCAGTCGTGTGAATACAGGTTCAACATCAAATGGTGGTGACCACCACTGAAACTCTGGAACCAATGCAGCTGCAGCTTCTACAACCATGGGGTCTGTAGATGTCCCAAGTGTCCAGATGATTGCTACAGCTTCTGGTGACAGTGGAGGAGGGGGAGAGAACATGGGTCCGGGGGTGGAAGTCCCTCGATCAGAACCACTGTTGGAGAATATTGGCAGGAGAGAGATGTGTCTGTTGAGGCCCAAAAATATCTGTGAAACAGTGGTGTACAGTTCACCAAAGGCAGTGTTCATAATCCTTCTCTGTACCCAGAGCCTGAATTCCCACAGGGGGCCTTGAAACAGGATACTTGAAAGGAAAACCTTCAAGAGGCCAGTGAATGGAGTCTGAAATGGTGAATCTGGGAATATCAAAGCCAGTGTGATCATCACACTGTATAACATGCACCCCAGGAGGGTCAATGCTAGGGCAATTCCAGCAAGCACAAGATGGATAGTCCACAGATAGATAGAGAGTGCCACCGCAAATAGTAAGAGTGAGAACTGGATGAGAAGAGGACATATTTGCATTACAATGCCAAACTTCCACCGCTGGATGCCATCAATTTTCTTCTGTCGTTCGATCCCACGCTGTTCAATGCTTCCTTTTGTGCCGGCTGAATCATAATGCAGCAGCCATTGCTTGCCAAGCACAGCGAGAAGTGCAGCAAGAAGGGTTGAGGAGAGACTGAAATACAGAAAGCTTTGCACCACAACGATGGA